TAAATAGACCACCTACTAGAGCTAGGGAAAAAAAAAACCCACAGAGAGTGCCTGCATTCGTGTTGTGGGAGATATGTTTGCCTGTTATGTGGAGATGGAGTCTACCTGGGATTTGCAGATGTTCATTAGTTTCAAAAGTTGAGGCCACGATGCTCCTCAAAGCTTAACAAGAGAGGCCCTTTCCCGGTGAAAATACTGAAATTTAGTCAAAAGGAGGAGGAGCAGGAGGAATTCACTGATTGAATGAACACAAAGATGCCTTCTTCTGCAGAGTTTTACACAGACTATTATTTAACTGCCTTCTTATGCAATATAAGAAAAAACAAACAAGAAGTACAAGCTTTGTTCACCACCAGAGGTAGGAAAGTGTAAAAATTGTTCCGGCTATGCTGAATCTTACAATGATAATGAAATAATCTACACAAGGGAAGTCAGTGTCATGCATTTATGAAGTTATCAGCTGGAGGAGATGACAATTTGTACAGGAAGACAAAGAAGATAAGGACTGAGCTAATGGGGAGACTACAAAGGGCAGTGTTGAACTACTGGCTTGGCGGCAGGTTATTGGTGAAATTCCTATTGTTCAGCTCCATATTACTTGACATTTTTATTAATGATCTCAGTAGAAAACATAAGAGGGTGCTATTAAATTCAGGACATTGTAGTGCTGGCAGATAAAACTGATATGGAAAATAAATGGAATATCTTACAGGAAGAACTCACGGTTCTAAGGTCTGGAGTAGTAGAAAGGAGATAAGCATCAATAACACAAAGTTTAAGGTTACGCATGATAATAGGAAATTCTCCTGTGAACTTTGAGCTTAGCAGTTGGAAGTAACAGAGGAGGAGAAAGAACTGGGTGTATAGCTGGCCATGGGATGATTGTAAACTGCCAGCATATCGCAGCCGTGGCCGGGGAAAGCATTATATCTTACTGTGAATCAGGCAATGAGTTTTGTAACCAGTAGAGAGGGGGAGAACTGATGCCGTGTACGTGATTCTGGTGAAGCCTCACCTAGATTATTAAGTATAATTTGGAGATTTGTGTTCAGGCAAGATAAATGCAGATTGGAATGGGAGCAAAGATGATCTAATAGCGCGCTGAGGGGAAATAGAGAACGCATTTTACAAAAGCAAATGAAGTATCTTGGCTTGTTTATCCTAACAAAATGAAGGCTGAGAGAAGATAAGATTGTTCTCTATAAATACATCAGGAAGATAAGCACTGGGGATGGAGAGGAGCTATTTAAGCTAAAGGCCAATTTTGGCAGCAGAACAAATGGATCTAATCACTGTGAATAAATTTAAGCTGGAAATTAAAAGGGGATTTCTAAGAACCAGTCAACGAAGTTCTGGAAGGGAAAGAAAAAAACTAAGTTTTAAAATGGGGCTTGATTCATTTATGAAAAGGATTTGTGGGACATGATTGCTTGCAATAACAAAGTTGGGCATGTAGGATAGATGACATTCCAGTCGTGGTTTTTCTTTGTCTTAACCCTTTCTCTAACTTTCTTCTGGAAGATGTAGAGTCTGTATCAAAAACTCAGCAGCATTTATTTTCAGCAGCTGAAAACCTAGACATCTTTAAGATATGTGAGCCCCAACCATTCAACTTAGTTTGGTGGAAAACCTAATTTTCTGTCACAACTCTTTTCCATTAAAATAAGAACTTCTTGAACTATCATTTGATATCTGAAACTTTCTTGGGCAAACTAACAAACAAGTTAATTTACTTCAACCCAAGAAATTCCATGAAGCAAGAAGGTCTCCTTTCTTGGCAACCTGTGTTTCTTGTTTGGATACTCAGCTTTCTAATAAAATACAGATTCTAGCTAAACTTCTTCCACTGGTTCAGTTAGCTCTGTGTTCCTTCACTCATACATATATATACACACACACACATATATTTTCTGGTAATTAGTAAGGAGTAAGGTTACACTGCAACTTTTCACTTAACTGAAAAATCAATATCCAATCACTTTTTTTCATTAAACCTGTAGGAACTTAATACCTTGAAAGCCCTGTCTCTGTGTCAGATTTCATTAATATTCACAAACTGATTTAAAAGTTATCCAGAGGAGACAGATAAGCAGACCGGATCATCGCACGGCTGCATTTCTTTTGGGAACAGGGCTAAGACGACATACTCATCGGAGGTGACATACTTAGAAATCCTTGAAAAAGTAGCAGTAAATTGTCATTATCCAGGATGGGAATTCAGTGGAAAGTTACGACAAAAAGTAGGACCACATGATGCGTATGTAAGGCCATTAAGCATAACATTATCTTCATTTAATAGAAGGTGGTTAAGTCAGTCTAAATACCAGTATAAACCTATATAGTTTATTTAATGTGACAATTTGAGGTGCTATTTTTACATCTTCTTTTGATGTGATGAAGTTCACAGTTCATTGTAATATGTACGGTTAGAGACTCAGATTCAGGCTGAAACATCAGAAAGGTTAGTAATCTTTTTTGCTGCTAAGCAGAGTAAAATGAAGAGAGTGCACCTACATTTGTGGGTTCCTCTACCTGATACCATAGATTCTATCAGACTTTTGCGGGGGGACCGGCCAGAATTACGCCCATTACTTGACAGTCTCTCCATTCCTGGAGTGGAAGGTCATTCACATCTAAAAGTACACATTGACACTGCACGCATTGTTCCTTACAGCCCTTGCTGCTTCTCTTCGTTCCTCAGTGTTCCTCAGTCCTCAGTTCCTCGTATTTGTTTTCTACCATCTGACAAAAAGGGACATCCTTTGGTAGAATAGTAGAGCTAGATAGTGCAGCTTTTGTCTGAATTTTGCTTCTTTCTGTTTTTGTTTGACACAGTCACCTTTTTAATACCTTTTCTTTTTCTCTGTTTTTCTCCTTTACACAGTACTAATAAGCTGATTTGTGTGCTGATGTCTGTTCTGTATAGGCTATTCATATGTCCATACCGGTCAACCAAGAGAGCAACATTTATAATAATTATACAGAGATCTTTGTTTTAAGACCTTAGAATTGATTTTGGCTGTGCTCCGTATGATTATTGATTGATGCTCATGCTGTCTTTCATATATTATTTTGCCTCCTCCCCTTTTCTTTCTTTTACTTTGCAGGCAGCGAATGCTACCTGATTTTAAAGGACTAACAGCTATGTCTTCTAAGTCCTACTTGTGTCTTTATCACATTCTCACAACAGAGCTTCTCTGTGGCCTGATTTCTTGACTGATAAAACAAACACCTGCCTTAGATGTTAGGAAGAAGCAAGGGAGTATCTTATTCCTTTGCAGTCTGTATCAAAAAGTCAGTGTCTCTCTTTTTAACATCTTACACTGTATGAGAAGAGCCATCACAGGCCAGACCAGTGTTTCTATGGTCTTGCATCTGAAGGAGTCCAGTGATGGATTACAAAAAGCAGGACAGTGCCCAACTTCTGACACTTGGTGCTTTAGAGATTTCCCGAGCGAGTGGTTGCATCTAGACCATGTGTTTACTGTCTGCTGATGGACTGCCCTCACAAATTATTTAATGTATAGGAGAGGTTGTACTGGGGTTGTGTCATACTGGGGCTTCTAGAATAGATGTTTCTTAAGCTACGAAGTCACTGTTTTAATAGTACTAATGTGTATGAGCTCTGCTTGTCTCTTGAAGCTTCCTCTCTGGCAGACAGTCCTCTTCCCAAGTTCTAATCTAAAATAATATTCTTCATCTCTCTGCCAAATGCAGTCCTTTCTAAATAGAAACATTTAGCATATTTCCCTTGATTTTCCCTTATGACATTGTAGACTCGCAACTTATTGTCCTTTGCAAGTGCTGTCTGTGTCAATCGAATGGGCAATACTAAGCAACCATCAGCTATCTGGGTACAACACTTGTTTGCTTTGTATCCATCATACTATTTCAGATACCAAGAAATGTTTCAGGTTGAAACATTTAAGTTTTAAATGTTTAATGTGTCATTGAAATGAACCTGATGGATGTAGGTTTCCAGATGTGCGTTGCTTACAGCAGGAAGACAGTTAATTTTTCAAATGCATCCATATGTTTTTGTTTCTAGGTTTTATAAGGCTTTTGCAATGGAAGCAGGTTTTGGGGAGTTCCATTTGTACCTGACACCCATGTATATCGAATCTGCATCTCACAGGGAAAAAGCAGACCACCTCCCACCAATATTCATTACATCTCTCCTGGAAGATGATAGCTGTGTTGACAGGTAGACTGAACTTTTTTTGTGTTTCACAGGGTATAATCTCTTTAGATTGGATGGGATCAAGCCTTTAGTCTGCTTAGGCTCACATATGAGCCACAAAAACTTCAGTGTTTAAAATACATAAAATTATTCAGGCAGAAAACGTAAAATGCTGTATGATTCGTTTCCTTTTTGTATAGAGTCTCAGATTGAATAATGCTAATTTAAAGCTGTTGAGCAGTGAAAGCGAGGAAAAGCTGAATTTGTGTGGAACGCTGGGAATTTTGGGACTAAAGTGCATTTTCTTTGAAAGCGAGGGATGCCTAATGGGGCTGGCCTGAAAGTGATTGCCCCAAACCCCATAGGTAGCAAAATGGGACCTCAAAAACTGTCGTCAATAAAGTCCTTATTCCGAGCACGAAGAAAACTTGTTCTCTTAAAGTTATACTGCACTTCATGAAGTGGCATCTTTGATCTTTGTTTATCAACTCAGTGACTACTAGACCCAATCTCTGCATGAGGAGAAGGCTATTTATTATCTTCCCTTTTTCCCTGGGGAAAGTGACTGGAGCAAGTAGATTTTACATTTGCTTTGATTTCCTCTTTAAAGAGTCGGTAAATATGTGTGTGTATAGACATACATAAATACACCAGTTTGTGTGTGTGTGTTTGTGTGTCTTTTAGATCAAGGTTTATGAGGAAGAGAGGAAATAACCTGTGAATTCTCTTACTAGACTTAGGGAGGGCATCCTGCCAGTCGTTCCCTATGGCTAACAGGGCAGCAGGGCTCCCTTCCGACCTGTACGTATACCACCCGCAGTCCCATGCTGTTGTTTGCATCCTATTCACTCGCATACGCTCTAGCCTGCTGTGAAAATTGGGCTGTTCCAAACAAGTTTAGCAATTGCAAGCAACCTGGAATAAAACTTCAGCTGCTAATTGAATTGGGGCAGCGATGGACATCAGAGCCCAGAAGACAGTACAGCAGCACAAAAAACCACTTTAGGAACTAATACTTGAAACAAGGCACGATTAAACTGAAGAAGCAGATTTTTCACTGGTTTAGACCAAGCTCATCTAGGAGGAGCTAATGAGTCATTGTAAAGTCAACCACAAAACATCACAGGAATATATTCTTTTTCTTACAAAACTACTTCTGAAACCTAAAGCAACGTCCTAATATCACTAAATTAGGGCTTAGAGTGACCAATTCCGTTATGTGTTCTAAATGTAAAGGGGGAAAGAAACGAAAAGTATTTCTGAATTTATCACTATTTTCCTTTCATCCTCAGTTTGGCTTCTTTCTGTGTCATACTCTATATTTATAGATAATTTTGCTTTTATTGCAGATACATTCCATCTAGCTTACCATTAAGCATTCAAGAAATTGACAGTCATATCGGAAAGTTTAGTTTCCATACAAGAGATGGTGTTATGCAGGTGAATGATTTAATTTGCAGAATAAGCAAAAAAATGTGTATTATGTTATTATTTATTTACTAGAGTGTGTAAGGTCCTCAGGCATGTGTTTACTACACACTATAAACTTCTCTACTGTTTGTCTTTCTCTGAGTGACAATATGATTTTGTCTACTGTTTTATAATTAGCTTCATAAAATTGCACTAAAAATTTGATTGTTAATGTGGCAATCCAGGAATCCTTGCTGGGATGAAACTCTTTAAGTTAGCTGAGTTTTGTCTGAGAAACTTTGTTAAATAAAGCAGGATGCCTGCGCATGGCTGTATGCACACATAGTAACAACATTTGGTGTAGAGAGTTCTGTAATGAAGGAAAACGACCTTAGTCTTCAATGCTCTTTTGCATACTTAGTCCTTTCCTCTTTGTATGAGTGTATAAAAAACAGTATCACAGACTGCCAGGCCGTGGAGGTTTCTTCTTTAAAGCTCTCCACAAAGTCTTCTTCTTGCCATCAACTCAGTCATGACCTGTGCTCTGCAGCAGGGTGGCATGTAATTAACAATTTGCCAAGGAGAAACAAATATGTTTTATGTGGTATCTACTCCTTTCCCAGCCTGTTTGCTCTTGGCTGCACTGTCTGGCACTGTCCTGCTCTACAGAGTAGAGCTGAGAATACAACTCACTAAATATAAATGAGTGAAATGTTTCCTTGATGTCTACATTTAGTCATGTTTCAATGATAACAACGTATACAAATATAATAGAATGCTCTCCCTTACCTCTCCTTTAATTAAATTAAGCTGCTCGAGTACTGCCAAGACAGAGAGTGATGTCTGTAAAGTAACTTGTCTTTTAAATGGCAGAGGAAATGCCTAACATGTTGTTTTCCCTCTCCTTAGCTCTTGTGTCCATCTGGAATAGGGAACATGCAACTTATCCTGGTCTGTCCAGTCATTCAGAAAAACGGTCTTTTGGTGGCTGTTCAGCAAGCCTCCTTTTGTTGCTTGGTCCAGACTCCCCAGACCCTGGACATAAAGCTTAGCAGCATCTTCTTCCTCACATTGCACTAGCAATAATGGGTTTTGTCAGACTTAGCCCAAAGAGGGTATCTGTTAATTCTGTTTATGGATGGCAGTCCTGCGCAACACTTGGAACAACATCACTGATGACTGCAGGAACTGCAGTGATTGTGTATTAGCATATGACATAAAAATAAATGGTGTCACATCAGTGATTTATTTCAAGTCTATTAGTTGGATAAGTGATGAAGCATAGCTAAAAATATACCTCAAGAGAGAACTGAAAGAAGTTGGAGATGAATTAGATTCAAAAGGCATGGGTGAAATCTTATAGCCTGTGGTATGCAGTAAGGCTAGCAATCACAACCTGACCTTGAAATATGCATTCTTCTGGGATGGCAAAACCATCAGTTCCTGCCGCTTTCACTTGTCCTGTCTTCTGAAAACAGAAGTAGAGTCAACACTATTTGCAATGGGAAACATTCATGTCAGCCTGATGCCATAATGTTGGTTCAAAAGCCACCTGCCAGGGTCACCAAACCATTACTGTTCCTCATCTTATATTTGGCTTTTTTTTTTTTCATCCTGTGTTTAATATATGGTGCTCAGGAGCTGCCCTTGCTTCATACATGCTAAATTGCTGTAGGGCTCTGTGTTGCATTTTCTTAGGCAGCTGTTGTGTCTCTTCCAGAGACAGCTGCGTTGCAGTGATGAGCCAAGTGACCTCGTGTGCAATTTTGAGTTCATAAGCAAATAGAGATTCTTTAGGGCTTGTCCTGCCTTCTCTGTGCTTGTATCGACATCTCTTTCCATGTTCCTTAGGACACCCCATCCATGCCCCCTCAGGCCCCTCTTGCATCCCCAATGCTCCCCACGCTCAGTCCCTTGCCACCAGGCAGTATCCTCAGCTCATTCCTGTGTTTGGGAAGTGCCCGTGTTTTGCTGTCTAGCCGGGCAGGCAGCACTGTGTTTTGCGGCAGGCTGGTAGCCGTGCACGTGCTGACTGCCTGGCTGTCAGGCTGGGAGCCCAGCTGGCCGCTGCCTCCTGGGAGCTGAGCAAGCCAAGCAAAATGGCTAGGGCTCAAACTCTCCTTGCCTTTTCCCTGAGCGGGGGGTTTTCCTCACTAGCAGAATGCTGATTTTGCAAAACTGGAAGGAGCTTTATACCCTTGAGACCTCTGTTCTTACGTCAAATGTATTTAAAATTAGTCAGAGGGTTCAAAAGTTCTTAGAGGTGGGTTGAACCAGCTAAGGGAATGAGGCTAAAATATTTCCTGTGTGACACCAGTTTCTTTCTGAGTTTAAAAATGAAAAAAAATCGTTATCATGACTCCCCGTTGTCTCATTTTGGGTCACTCAGAGCTGCAGTGTGGGGAGGGGAGGGAAAGATGTCTCATGCAGCTGTGACTTGCTAGCTTCCGAGCATGAATTGCCGTTCCTAGAGCAGTATCCTATACACTTTCTTTCCTTACGCTGGAGGTGAATGTAAGGGAGGTCCTAGGGCCAACACTCACCCCAGAGACAGTCAACTGCACCAGAACAAACTTGTTTCACCACTGCGTGGTTTGCATCCTGTCCCAACACGAGCAGGACAGTGATTCTGCACCGTACAGCTGAGATCTATTGGCCCAAACAAACTGATATCCTGACGGCCCACCAGAAAAAAGCTTAGTATCGTGCGGTCAGAGCTGCCTGCTTGCTGCTGAGCAGGAACCCTTCGCACCACTGATCTCATGCAACTTTTGGCAGCACACGGACTATGTCCCAAGGAGCTGCTGCACTCTGCAGCCACTTGGTGGGCACCCAGGCGTTGGCAGCTGGATGGCAACCTCCCAGGGCTGGCCATGGTCTAGTTCGTCCCACAGGCTGGTTTCCATTCCCTCTCACAGGGAAGTCTGAGATTCCCTGTCTTCATTGCTAATCAGATCCTGCAGTACTGAAATCCTCAGTAGAACTGAGTAACTTTGGTTTCTTTCCCAAATCGATCCTCTGCGTTGCCTTACAAAGTGCTAGTGTTGTGTGTCTCTGCTGATAACCAGGCGTAGTCTTACTCTGGAAATAGCTCTTCATCCCCCAGTTGAAAAAGGTTGATCTTCCAAACATTTGGAGGTCTTTTACTGTCTAAATGCTGAATGGTTTCTTTTCCACAGAATGGCAATGACTGTATTTTTCATTTCCAGATGTCTCCTCCCTTCTGTAAACCATTTAATGGCTGCTGCATCCATTCTGGATCAGTTCTTGCTTATTTACAGTCAGTGGATATTAGCTAACTAATCAAACTCACACACGGAGGACAATTAATATAATCAACAGAGGCGGTGATAAGGAGGTCATGCATCTGTTATTCCAGATTAACATGTAAAACTGGAAAAAATCTTGTGTAATCTCCTCACACAGGAAAGGGAGATGGTTGCAGGATGTCACAGGCTGTGTCTGCACTGAGGGACCCAGCAGTGCCGTGGGTGGTATGGTTGCCCACCCGACGCAGGCCAAGGCCCGTGGCATCTCCCTTCAGCCCATGTGAAGGAGAGCTGGTTGCATGATGCCAAGGGAGCTGTGTGCTCTGCAACGCCCGCCACGGTCTGGCTGGTTGATAACCAAGACCCATGGGCTGTGCCATGAAGGGCACAGGCTTAACCAACCCAGTCTCACCGTGCAATAAGCCCTCACGCAGACCAGCCTCTTCAGTACTGGTCTAGGACCTTCAGAATGGCAAACTCCCATGTATTTGTAACTTCAGTGCTCAACTTTTCTATACTGACTTCGTTTATAGGCTGAAATGTTTCTCAAGAATGAAGACACTGCTCACGTCTGCCCATTTACTTCTAAGGCAGTTGTTGACCACTGTTTTTTTAATTCATGTTGTATGTTCCCTGTGCTCAGCCAAGCAGGAAGAATTGTTCCCTGGGCAGTAAGTCCATTTTCTACTACAACAGAGCAAAGGTATTCTTTGCTCTGCAAAGAGCAGATCCGTCTGCAAGCTGGCACTAACCCAAGCCAAGCTAGTACTTAGCTAGGAGAAGGAACTCAACTCTCAAAATGTGGCTTTTTTTCCCAGTTTGGTCTTTCCCTTTCCTGCTATGCGCAAAAGACAGTAGCTCTCCTTGATTTGCAGGGGAATTAGTGTGCTTTTTTAGCTGCCCTGGACTTCAAAGTGCCTGTGCCAATTTTGAAATATGACTTCAAGAACTTGGAAAAGTACCACTTGTTCCTACTTGAAAATTAAGATTATTTTCATATAAATATGCAGAAATCTCTGAGGTTCCTTCATACCAGGAGCCACTGGGACTTAAATAGGCGGTGGGGGGGGATGAGTGTAGTTTTTTGTGTTCGTGGGGAGAGGAAAACTGATTTTCCAGACAAGTGATCTAGATATACAATTATTTGTACATATTTGAAAATGTGAATATCTGGGAATATTCGTATTTTATTTGCAGCTGATTGAATGTCGAGAATGTTGTCTGATTTATAGATCGGGTACTGCCTCTAAGTCTGCTGCCGCTACAGTTTCATTATGCCTGTGCTCACTGAGAAATGTTTTTGTTCTGTGACTTTCAATGATCCCAGTGAATTATTATATCATAAAGCTAGGGTAAATGAAAGCACACAGAATTACAAACCTGCATTGATTTAGTAGGAAGAGCTGCCAGTCTTTATGAGAGCAAGCACAGAATTTATATTCATGATATTTTAGGAAGGAAATGTAAGTCTAACAAGTCGGAGCAGTTCAGCAAGTGGAAGAAATTCAGTGCCTGGGAGTGAAACAGAGGATCAGCTGCTGCAAGCAACCGCACCGGCCACTTCATTTTCTCCTGGGCGTTCTCCAGGTTTACTCTGTACCATTAAAAGGTATTTACTACAGACTGGGCAAGCCCCCTCCACTGGGTAGAGATCAGTCTGGCGCATGTGCAAATCCCGAGCACGACCTGCGTTACATTGCGCTGGGCCTCCGCCGTGAAAAAACGTAGCGATGGGCTCTGGATCGTAAGGGCACGTTCCCA